TTTCTCTTAGTAATTAACAAACAAAATACAGTCTGTACAAAAAGTAAAGTAAGTAAATTATCGTTCCTTGATACGTTTAGGTATAAAAAAAGGTCTTCGATAAGTTTTTTATTCTTATTTTTTGTCTTGAAATTCCGCATATTAACACAAGGGGGATAGTGTTAGTTAAAGTACCTGCCGGCAAATTTTTTAGAGATTTATACTCTTTTGAAACTTCTTGTACGGCTTCCTTAGACCAAGTCTGCCACAGTTTTCCTCTATGACTTTTTTGGTTCGGGGCGTTTTCCCCCTATATTTTCCGAAACATGACCGTTTCACGACATGTGCAAAAATGATACATACTCATAATGATACATAATGGACATATTCATTATCAATCAATGTCCACCCACAATCCTCGGGTATGTATTTTGTTCGTTGCCTTAAATGTGCATTGCACCAAATACTAGAAATGAACATGCCCCTTTTTATTTGCTGGAAAAGTTCAGCTTTACTTGGAGGTATACTAGGATACTTGGATGCATTTATTCCATTGACCTGCCGCTTGAAAACAATCTCACTTGTTTTTGAGTATGAAAATGCTTTGTCAAAAAGCTCAACTCTCGCTAAGTTGACGTCAGTCGATTTTACAAAATACAATTTGAACACATACTTTTCAATGTCATGAAAAACGCCATGATTAATAGTCATTTCTGAAGGAGAAATCTCCAGAAGTTGCATGAAAGCATTTGGATAATTTATATTGATTTTTAAAAGCTTAAATGGCCTTTTTTGCCATTCCTAACTGAGGGATTATAATCATTGCCTGTGAAAACATGCCAGATGATAAGAGCTATTGCCAACTTTATTACCATTTTTTGGAAAATTTCATTTATAAAAAGATATTCCTTCTTTTTGTTAGTGCTCAAATCAACAATAAAATTGTAGAACAGCTGATTATAGGATATTTTGGGAATTAAATTAATTAAATTACAATAAGTGTGTTTAAAAAGTACACAATTAAATTATTAAACAATATCTAACTCATCACGATTTTTTTCAATTTTATAAAACTATTTTTTCATTTTTTTAACATTCATTTAATTATTTATTATTTAAACATTCTAATTTATAGTTAAACAATAATGGCTGTAATAAACATATGTTTAAAAAACACCTATTTATTAAAGAATTAATCTGAAAAATAGACGTATACACTAAGCCCAAGTGCTACTGAAAAATTATATTTTAAAAAATGTTTTTTGAAATTGTACTCTATATGCCCCGTTTTGAGTGTCAGAGAAGTTATAAAATGTATTCAACTATTATTTTAAAAGAGAAATATGTTTGAAAAAAGTGTTTCCTTGTTAAAGCAAGTCACACAGAAAAAAATAGCTGGTTATTTATCATTTTTGCACTGACGGTCATGTTTGAGTTTGGGGGGAGGGGGGTGAAAACCCTTAACGTCCCATCTATGGCGTCAGAGAATATTATATCCTTTTATTATTCACTGAAATCAAGCCATTCAATAAATATGGCAAGAGTATGTATCATTTTTGCACATGTCGTGAAACGGTCATGTTTCGGAAAATATAGGAGGAAAACGCCCCCGAACCAAAAAAATCACAGAGGAAAACTGTGGCAGACTTGGTCTAAGGAAGCCGTACAAGTAGTTTCAAGAGACTATAACTCTCTAAAAAATTTGTCGGCCGGCACTCTAACTATGTGTTCTTTTATTGTGGATATTCCCAATTTCGCAGAAGCTATTTTTTACAACTGGTAAATCCCCCATCCATATCTCAAATATTTGTTTGGCAACGTTTACTCCTAGATATTTCGCTATACTATTTTAAATTTTAGCTCCTCCGAAATAAAAAAAATGTCATTGAACTGACTAAGCGCAGTTTGCGTAAGTACTTATATTGAAGTACCTTTTTTTTAGATGGCAACATTGTAAATATATAACTGTATGCCGGTACAAAAGAGTGTGTATGAGGCACTTGACACGTACGAGATAAGGGGAGTGCGTAAAATCAATACTCATAAATAGTATTAACAGTCCATGTCAAAAACTTTTCAGACTATACATAGTCCAGGCATATTTGTAAAAATATAAAATATGGTGCATACAGTAAAATTTGTCTCTAATTAAACACATTAATTTATACAATAAAATAAGTTATTCAAATTTCTGAGATTATTATCCCCTATTTGACTACTGAAATATGGTTTAAATAAGGTCAGCAGTGTTCTAGATAACTAACCCCTACTAAAATCCTGATGGCAATCTAAAAATTTGAAGTGCATTTGTTGAATTGCCCATATGATTAATCCCAGGGGCGTGCGGTAAAATTTAAAACAAGTGAAGCAATTTATAAAAAAATGTAAAAATTCATCGATTTATAATGTAATTGAATTCTTCTACCATTTTTCGCACACTCGTCTATAACTTCATTGTAAAAACTTGGATATTGTGACATTTCTTTAACCAGATTATTTTCAATTGTCAAAAGGGATACATTAGACTGCAACGGTCGGCAATAGGCGGACCGCGGTCCGAATGCGGACCGCGAAAGGTTGAAACTGCGGAATATCGATTGCTGAAGTGATACGATAAATAAACATAATAACAATTATGTAGAAGTGATGAAATTTTGTTCTATAATAATATTGTATATTTACAATAACTGAAATACATAAATCTGGGGAATTCTGTTCAAAATCTGGCAACTTTTAAAACACAATTTCGGGAAATAAAATTTATGGGCCTAGCAACGACTATAGTTGGTCAGTGACATGCACGTAGCGCACTACCGTTAATTTGTTTTGTGATTACTCTAGTTTTCGTTTATTTTATAAAACATCTTTTTGTACCTATGTTTTGAAAAAAGCACAAAAATCCTAGTTCGCTGCATGAGCGACCAATAAAAATCCACAGAGGCAGCGTTACGTGTGTGATGGATACTTAAAACACCAAAAACCATTTTCTGATTCTGAGAAAGTGAAGGAATGTATGCTGACAGTAGCTAACTCACTTTTCGAAGAAAAAAAGATGTTGCCTCAGCAATTCAAAGCATCTCAGCGCGAAGTAATACACAAAGAAAGGAAATTTTAGCTGCTTTAAAATTAATAACACTCTTCTTAATCTTTTGCAAAAGGTATCTTGCTACGCCACAGCACTTGACGAATCATGTGACATTGTTGATGATGAACAAATGTCTCTTTTTGTAAGATTTCTTGATAGTGAGTGTCAGATTTTTAGGGAAGAGTTGCTAGCAATATTGTCGCTGAAAGATAACACTCGAGGAGAAGGTTTATTCAAGGATATTGATGAATTAATATCTAAATCTAACATCAGTTATAATAAAATGATTTCACTGTCTACTGATGGAAAAAGGTGTAGGAAAGAGGATCACGGATAAAAATTCAAACTTCATAACATATCAGTATATAATACACCAGGCAGCCCTTTGTGGAAAACAAAGTGCTAGACTTAAAAAAGTTTGGAAGGTTTAGTGAAGTTAATTAATTTAATGAGATCTCATTCTGCTCTTCAGCACTGACCTGTCAAGAAGTTTCTTTCTTAATGTAATTCAGCATATATTGACTTATTATAGCCCAATAATGCTCGTTGATTAAGTGAAGGTCAACGTTTGGTGACAGAATGACTGTCTCCGGCTTCTATATAAAATGTAGCTTCTCCAATTTTAAATTTTAAAGTGTTTGTTTGTCTTTGTTTAGTGTATTTGTTATGTCCCAATTTACATTTATGACATTCTGTTACTGTTGGATAGGCCACAACTGACGAAATGCCCCTGAAGATGATCTTGTGATCGAAAGTACTTGGGCAAGATTTGATTAAATACTGTGTTCGATATTTGCCTTGTGTACCATCAAAGTTAATAAGTTAATTTGTGGAGCAAATTGTCTTGTGAGACGCAGTCAAAAGCCTTCGACAAGTCGCAAAAAGAAATTTATTTGCGATTGCCGCGTTCAAGCCCCTCAATCACCTCGCTTATGACACTAAATACTTCGTTCGTGCGTCGTCTACTTCGTTCCTCCAGGATCTTCGGGGTCGTCCTATCCATTCTCTCTACTTCTCCTATCCATTGTTGATACTCTGCAGCATCTTCGCAGGCATCCCATCTCTGTTGCTACTATCTTACTGCTGTTTTTCTTGTTTATTATCCAACTTTCAGCCCCATATGTCATAATTACTAATGTATTATAAATCTATGTTTTTGTCTTCATATTTAGGTGTCTATCCCACCATACTGAGTAAAGTTGTCGAATTGATGTTCTTATTTGTCCTAATCTTTGCGTAATTTCTTCCCCAAAGTTTTTGCCTTTTTCGTGATGATAAACCCCAAGTATTTGAATTTGTCCTTTCCTTTGATTGTTACGTTGTTATCAATCTGTATATCTTCTATGCCTTCTTCACTTGTAAATAGGTATTCTGTTTTCGCGAGGTTAATATCTAGACCAGCCTTGGTATATCCTTCTTGTAATTTCTTCATCATGTAGCTGAGATCGTCTTCTTGTGCAATCACTACTTGATCGTCTTCAAAGCTTAACGTATATAGTTATTCGTTCCGTACCGGTACTCCCATGCTTTCGCATTTTCTTTTCCATGTAGTCAAGGCTTTCTCTAAGTATATTTTGAATAGGTTTGGAGATGTGGAACAACCCTGCAGGAGCCCTTTTGTTGTGGTAACGTTTCCTATGATTCTTGTTCCCACTTTAATTTCTTTATACAGAGCTTTTGTAGCTTCTATGAGTTCCGTCTGTATTTCCAATTTGTACATTGCCTCCCATAGTTCACACCTTGAGTCATACGCCTTTCTCAGGTCCACAAATGCCAAATGTGGCATGTCTTTATGAATAAATAAGTGTAAATAAATGGAAACGTGACGTTATTTCTAATTACAGTATAGTGATCATTGACGTTGATGTAATAGTATTCTTCACATTATTCAATTTCATCTCTGTGTTGCGTCGGAAATAGGTAGTGAAAAATAGAATGTTTCTCCGATAAAAAATTTATTGAAAACATTTTGATTACAACTAAAAATTAGATAGTGTACAGGTATTAAGAAGAGCTGAATGCTGTTATTACTTATGGCAAAACAATACCTGTTTACTCTGTGGCTTAACAATATTTTTCTATACTATAAGCGCAATAACATTTATAGACAGTTAAATTACGTAGAACTAAGACATGACAATACCAGTGCATGTTTCTAATTTGAAAATTAAGTAGATTTTAAATCAGAATTATTCTAAATTCAGTACATGAAAACGGATTTTCACTTAGTGCAATCGTTAGGAAAAATGGTTAAGGAGTATGGTAAAAATCAATTTTCATATAGTCTTATTTTAAAAGTACAAAATATTTTTCGACAGGACCTTATCTATGGCGGAGTGCAAGCAATGCCAGCTCTCCAGTCCCCAGGACGATTAAAGCTTGAAAATGGTTTTGGTTCACAGAATTAATGGAAATTTGGTCCCTCGGTTATCTGCTGTACTGCGGCCAGCCGAATACATATTGCTAATCTTATTTCATAAGAGACAATAATTTGATTATATACATATTAAACAAAATAGTCTTATCTATGAACCACAGAATTTTAAGTAACTTTAAGCAGTGTGCACTACTGGGTTTGTATTAAACTCATAGCGACTCAATTTAGGAGTCTTTGGACCTGAAAGGTCTTCAGAAAGAGGTCTGTATACAGATCCACTGTGTTTCTTTTGACCTGGAGTTGTATTCCAAAGAGGAATTTTCAACCTTGGTAAGTTAGCTCGTTGCATGTCAAATCGGTTGTTTCTACGTAGAATGCATAAAGTTATGGTAACAGCTATGGTCAGTACTACTAAAGCACTTAAAACAAATACTGAAGTTACTGACAAGATGTAAGTGGCTCTAGCAAGGGATGTGTCTTCGAACTTAGTAGTCGTTTCTTCATCGTAGTATTCGTCGTCGTATTCATCAGAATCGCTGTCGTCATCATCATCGTCGCCTTCCTCGTAGTTATCATCTTTCTCAATTTTGTCAATAGTTTTATATGTAGTTTTGTTATCAATGCGAGTTAGTTCAGGTACAGCAGATTCAGTAATATGTTCAGGACATTTACCTTTATGAACATCTTTCCATTCAATGGTTACAAAATCATCGATGTCTTCCCTAAAAGCCTTATCAGCTCCGGTATATATATTCTTGCTATAATCGATAGGAGTAATGCCTTCTAGATCTAAAAAGTATAATAATATACATAATTTCTCATCAAACACTAAAGGATTATCTTCCAGTTCTATTGCCTCTAATTTGGGCATAATGTTGAAATCCTCGTTAGTTAGAGTTCCTAATAAATTTCCACTTAGCAGCAGTTTATGCAAAGATTTAACAGGTTTGTTGTAGTTGGACCACAATTTTGTCAGAGTAGCATTTCTGGCATCAATGTCTCTAAGAAGGTGATTTCCTGCAAACACTTCTGGGTTAAGAACCAGTAAAGGATTACCAGCAATGTTCAAAATTTCTAAATTGCTATTATGTGCAAAAGCTGCTGGCGAGAAATATGCAATCTCATTATAAGAAATATCTAATTGTTTCAAGCTGGAAATTTTGTCGAAGACATTATCTACATTCATTAAGTTATTGTGCGACAGTTCCAGATTAATCAAACCATCCATGTTCTGGAAGACGTTGGTTGAAAGACTTTTTAGGCTACAAGATTTACACGAAAATGTGTAAGTAGAGAAACTTTCATGGTTTTGGCGGTAGAAGGATGGTAAGGTCTCGAAATTGTTTCCATCTAAGATAACTTTGATGAGTTTACCGTTTCCAGAGAAAATATTATCTTCAAGTTTAGTCAATTTATTGTAAGAAAGGTCAATTACTGCAAGATCCTGCATGTGGGATAGTGCTTTATTGGATATATCTGTGATATTGTTGTGACTCAGGTTTAATTCATTGAGAGAAGTTAATTTTTTTGTTGAGTCTTCGTCAAATGTTTCTAATTGGCAGTTTTTAAGAGTTAAAATTTCTAAACTGTCGGATGTATTAATGTTAAAATGTTTAAGAGGGTTGTTGTCGAGATTGAGGGTGATTAACTCTTGGTTATTAATAAATGCCGTAGGTGGGAGTTTGTGGATGTTATTGTCGGAAAGATGAAGCTCTCCTAGATCAAACAGTTCAGCGAAAGCTTCAACTTCAATATTTTTAATATAATTTCCCGATAAATTTAAAAACGTTAAATTGATCAGTCCATTTAGATTAGGAATTTCTTCCAATTTGCATTCTCCAAAATGCACCTCTTCCAACTTTGTAGAAAATAGCTCAGGACTGTCTTCAAAGGCACATTTGGAAAACTTTAGACGCGTCACATTGTCGAAGGCTTTCACATCTATGGACGCAATTCTCGTATTTGTAATGATGACATCGTCAAGATTCTTGAACCCGGAAAATGCGCTAACTTGGATCTGGTTGATGATCAAATTGTCAAGAGTGATGACGTTGGTTGAGGTCTTGCTAATGTACTTAAAAGTGGAGTCGTTAAGTACTAGAGGCCTATCGCATTTGATTACCTGCAGCCTATTGGACAGCATTCCAAAGCTGCACGTGCAGTGGTCAATGCATGTCTTCGCATTCGTTGGAAGCGACGGCGGCGGCGGTACGGCTAATACCGCCGCAGCCTGGACGGCCAAAAGCAGCAACATAAATTTCATGTAGGTATCTGAAACAAAAATATTATTATTAGTATATAGTGAAATAACTCTAAATCTAAACTCTAATAAATAAATGACTAAATAAAGTGCTGGGCGGAGTGGGTAGTTCAGTAAATGCCGGTGCCGGTCCCAAGCCCGGATAAAGGAGGAGGGTTGATTCGATGGGCTAGCAACGGAAAAGGAAATGATATTCGAACCAAATTGTTGACTACAATAAATTTAACCACCCCTGCATTGAATCTGAATTTGAATTCTCTATTACTTTCAGTAAGAAGCTTAATACTTTTCTCATTATTGTGTACAGACCCCTAAGTCTATGATTGAGTTATTTTTTCAAAGATTGGAATCCTTGCTCGAAAAAATTCCACAAAATGCTTTTATTATCTTGACAGGTGACTTTAATATTGATTATCTGGATTCATCACACAGCTATGCTATTACCACTACAAATTTACTTAATAGTTTTAATATGAGAATGCTGGTTACGGATCCAACCAGAGATCATAGCATATTGGATTATATTTGTACTAATTTACATCCAGATCTAGCTGTGTGCAGAGTGATTCCCTATTTTTCATCAGATCATGATCCCATTCTATGTGAATTTCCCCTTAAGAATCCACCTTATTCAGAAGATTCAACGAAATTTCTTTACAAATTACGACTGGCCACAAAATTACAAAATGTGGATCGAGAAAATACATCAGCGGAAGAATTATACCAGCAACTTAAAAAATGCATTCATGAGTCTGCAAGTGAAGCTTTGGGTTATAAAGACAAACATGAAACAAAAAATCAATAATGGTGGTCAGAGAATATGTAAACGTTAGTAAACAAGAAGAAAACTGCTTATAAGACATGGATGTCAACGAGAAAGGAGGAAGATTACAAGATATATCAAAAATTAAATCTAGGTGTAAAAAAAGAAGTAGTAAAAAGTAAAAATGAGATGTGGGATCGAAGATGTGCAGATGTGGATAGGTATATGGGTGGAACAAGAGTTGGGCAAGCGTGAAAGGTGATAAAGTCTCTCCGGAGGGAAAGAAAGGAAACATCTAACTTACAGTTAATAGATCTGAAACAGTGGAAACACCATTATGAGGTCTTACTGACAGAGGATAGATGTAAATTCCAAGAGATCGAAATGGAAGAAATATCCGAACATACACAAATAATTGAGATAACCGGAAAGTTAAGCGATGCCCTCAAAAGATCGAAAAACGGTAAAGCAGCATGACCTGGAGACATCCCAATTGAGTTGGTGAAGTATGGACAAAATATCCCTGATAATTGGAATGTTGGATACATCAGCTCAATATTCAAGAAAGGGGATAAACGCAAATGCTTTAAGTATAGGTGAATAACTGTTATCAGCTCAGCGGGGAGGTTGTACGGTCGAATAATAAAAGAAAGAATATAATGAGAATACGAAGACATAGAAGAACAAAATGGATTTCGTGCAGGAAAAGCGTGCACTGATGGTATATTCGTTCTGCAGCAGGAAATCGAAAAACGGAAGGCAACGAATCTATCTACCCACCTATTGTTTGTAGATTTAGAGAAGGCATATGATACGGTACCTTTAAAAAAACTGTTCCAAACATTGACGAAAGTGGGTTTCAGTAGAGAGTATCTGGATGCTATCGCAAATATATACAAAAAAATGCAAGAAGTGTCGTTAAAGAAGGAAACGTTATATCTGAATCATTTCCAATAACAAAGGGGCTTAAACAAGGATGTTGTCTATCTCCGACCTTATTTAAAATATATATTCAATCATCGCTAGAGCAGTGGAAGAAACAAGTATCCGGAATGAGAATAGACATAGGCGGCCTAAAAACTTTATTTTTCGCAGATGATCAGGTAGTTGTAGCGAATGATGAGGAAGACATGGACTACATGTTTAGAAAACTCAAGAAAGAATATAAAAAATGGGGCCTCAATATGAATATGTTAAAGATGGAGTATCTTAAAATAGGAGATGATGAAGAAAATCCAGAGTTAGAAATTAGAAACACAAAAACATGCAATGAATATAAGTATGTCGGATCTATTATATCTAAATAAGGCACTACCAAAACAGACATCGAAAACAGAACGTGAACGTGAACTATGGTCTAAAGATATTAGACAAGAAACGAAATTGACAATCTATCGAACCTTGATAGAGTCTATTATGACCTATGGGGCAGAAGTTTGGCAGATCACGAAAAAAGATAGAAAAAGAACAGAAGTAGTAGAAATGGATTTTCTAAGGAGAGAATGTGGTATATCCACAAAATTACATACCACAACAAAGAAGAAGAAGGGGAAGGCCTTCAGTTGCCTGGGGAAAATGTACGGCACATAATGAGAGATAGAGCCATGGAAGAAGACGAATGGATGGACAAAAAGCTATGGCGGTCGAAATGCGAGAAGCGGCAGAGGCTGTAGGAACCATATATATATAGTGAAGTATTTGCACTGAATTGTTACTTTCTGTACACATGGTAGAAAAACAATACTATAAATTATGGCAACCTACTTTAACCGTATGACGATAATAAAGTCGATAAAGTATCTTTCAGCATATATGATTGTGTTTAATAGTCGTAAACCATTATCGCTATCAGTACAATTTTACCGAAAACAATACAGAGAAATATTGTAATCATTGTATTGACTATAACATAAATATATCAACCATGTATAACAGTTCTAGAAATGAAAACAATATTTTTCATTTAGTATATAGGTATTGTTTGTTTTTATTTAGAAATCAACATTCATCAAAAACCGTATATGTACCTTCTAAATATAATTTATTATATTAATAAATGGGGGGTAAAGGGGTAGAATGCTATAACATGGAGTTGCTTCCAGTTTACTCCATTTAGCCTCTTCTACTCAAATTCGACTCTCACCTTCACGCTGGTGCCCCCCGTTAAACCGTTAAACTGGAGATCCGGTATCCAACTCGGGTAAAAAGTTGGGTCGGAAACTGACGAGAGCGGGTGAACTGGTCCTTCAGGTTGGGGGTTGGGTTAACACCCCGACACGGTAAAAAACAGCATGTTACTAGAATTCAAGGTAAAGTTTCCAGACTGAAATCTAGATGACCACTCGGTGCGAAAAAGGACAATGATTTAGGATTATTTTCGTGGAATGTAAGATCTCTATACAGCCCAGGAGTCTTACAGTCTCTCATTAACAGTGTAAAGTATGTAAGAGCGATATAATTGCACTTCAGGAAATGAGATGGAAATCCCCATGAACCAACTGAGAAGAAGCCGGATGAAGAAAAAGAACAATTTTATGAACAACTGGAAAATATCATACAACATTGTCCTAGAAATGACGTAAAAGTCTTAATAGGAGATTTTAATGCAAAGATAGGTAAGGAGAGGGAATATATGCCAACCATTGGAATTCACAGTTTACATGAAGAGTCAAAAAACAACGAAACTCGACTTATACACTTAGCCTCCTCAATGAATATGGTGATTGCCAGCACATGCTTCAGGCACAAAGATATACATAAGGTAACATGGAGAAGTCCAGATGGGAATACAGTAAATCAAATCGACCATGTTGTGGTTGACGCAAGATACTTCAGCGACGTGATAGATAGCTAAGACAAGAAGAAAAACGAATACTTAAAAAAAGAAGAAAAAGCATATAGAGAGCCAACTAAAAGAACTATAAGGCACAAGCAGAAACGCGAAAGTTAAGAGGATTAACCAGAACAGGAAAGAATTCAAATCTAGATTATCAATCGTTAGAAATAGAACAGGGGAGATCATTGGTGATCAGGACCAGACACTAAAAAGATGGGCAGAAAATTTCGAGGAAAGGGTAAATATAAGAGATGAGGGTTCCACGAATCAGAAATCCAACTAGAGGGCATTGACGATGAAAGAGAGAAAGATAACATCCCAACAGAGGTAGAAGCCATCCAAGCTATACAGAAATTGACAGAAAACAAAGCTCCTGGAACAGATGGCATTCAATCAAAACTTTTCAAGGATGGCAAAAAAAACCTGACATACTGTATATGTAGAATGCTAGAACTGATCTGGAAGCAAATAAAGTTGCCAGAAGACTGGAATGTAGGTATTGTACCTATCCACAAGAAGGGAGATCACACAATATATACAATACCTTTTAAATACTTTTTACATATAGAAGATCATTCAAGATTTCAAACCCATTTCGAAAAATTAAAATCCGACGATTAGAAGAGCCTACTGAATTTTGTAAAAAATTGTTTAAATTTTCAGCTCATAAAATTTTTTATCAACTTCATCAATTGTTGATCGATTTTAATTTTCAAAACTGATGGTAATAGAAAGAAAAAATAAGATTATCGGTATATTAGTTCGAAAATTACGACCGGTCAAAGTTGATTGTGATTTACACTAAAAGTAAAGGTTCTAATTTTTTAAATAAAAACCTTTATTCAACATTCCTGGGGATGTTATTCCACAGACAAAAGAGGAGAACAAATAGAAAAATTTCTTAATGAAACAGATTTTGTGCTATTAAATACAGGAGAAAAAACTCGGTTTAACTCTGTTACCGGCAATCATTCTGCTATTAATCTGACTATATGTGAAAGTTCCCTAACTCCTAGTTTAAACTGGTAAGTATTAACCCATATCTACGATAGTGACCACTGATCTATAAAAATAAGAAATAGTAAGTCCAAAAGAACAATTATAAATATTTTAGAAACATGAAAAACTAAAGATGCAAATTGGATAGCTTACCAACAACATATTAAAGACTACCTACCTAATTTTGGAACAATAGGAGATAATATTACTGTTGTTACATACAAATTTACCTCAATGTTAACAGAGGTAGCCAGAAATATTATAGGCAAAACAGCAAAATCAAAACGTAACATTCAGTACCGTGGTGGAACAAAGAATATGAAGAGGCACTTAAACAAAGTAAGTAAGCATGCATTTAATGTATTAAAACAAACATCATACACCAGAAAACATCTTTTACAAAATATAGAGCA